TACCCCTAATGGAATAGGTTTTGGAGCTCCCTCCAAAAGCAGAGGTGATGGCATGGTCAAACAAGACTGGAATCGAAATGTTTCGGTATGGTGATCATATTATGGGCATTCAAGGTCATCCCGAGTATACCAAAGACATACTGTTGAACCTCATCGATCGACTTCTTCACCGTGATCTCATACAGGTATTTCAATTCTCAAGTTTCAATATTATCTTAATTCTTGATATTTCAACTGTGTGATTTTATGTCCCTACTAGGAGTCTTTTGCTGAAGAAGCCAAGTCCAAGTTGGAGGCTAATGAGCCAGACAAGGAGGCATGGAAAAAACTGTGCATAGGCTTCCTTAAAGGGAGATTGTGATGGAAACTTGGATAATCTAAATAAAATCTTGCGCAGTTTGGCAAGAGAACTTCGGCATTATCATCAGTGTACCTTGTATCTTGAAACTAATTCGATTTGGTTACAAATTGGGTTGAACTGCGATATTACAATGGAAACATGAAGATTCTAAAATGAACAAGACCATGTTCTGGCTCATGATTATAGAATATATCAATGTCAACACCAACAAAATCCGTACGTAAACTTAGGCCATATCTATTTGAAGCAATTAAGAAAATACGTCTGCATCATGTTTGCATCTTCAAACCATTATTTAATGAAAAAGTATCTGTAAATGTTCAATGGTAACGATGTCCACTGAGAAGAATACTCAAATGTTGCATTAGAGCTTGTGAGGCAGAGATACCAAACTTAGGAACTCATCATAGATCCAGAGTTTCTCCTACATTCTGCCAACATATCCATATAGAACTGACACTTGCTGATGTCGTTGCCATAGCCATTCAAGCACTGCAAGAAAATTAGAGACCAACATGAGAAACTTCCCTTCAGCAATCAAAAAGCAAACTGATGTGGAGACGTTACACCAGTGGAATAAAGCAAAAATCCGAGCTTAAACTAAAACAGAATCTTTATCCATTTCATACTTAGGCCCCGTTCGGTAGGGATTAAAATCAGATTAAAATTGAAAAAATATCCATTATTATTGACTTTTATTAGACAAGTTGGACCCAGTAATGGCCATATTTTCAATTTTAATTGGATTTTAATCCCTCCCGAACGGGGCCTTAATATTAATACAGTACCTCAATCCATAGTGCAAGTCTTAGCCTTCCAACTGTAATATTGTAATTCTTCACTTCCATTGAGAACGGTTGAAATCTTTCAATAAATGGAGCATATCAGCAGGTTTATTTTGCAGAGTGAAGACAGTCAACAATCAACAACCAGGATAGATATATTAGTAGTGGATGAACGTTTTCATAAATCAATTCATCAATGGAATGACTTGAGAGTGCTTATCACAAACGCCAGAATGTGTTTCGACTTCAAGCAGGCAAGCAATCACAAAGATTAAGCCCCATTCCTTTTAATTTCAACAATAATATACAGAATGAAAATTGAAAACAAGCAAAACAGACAAACAAATTTCTATTGGTTTACTCTCAAGGTGAGAGCTACTTGTCACTGCAAGTTATTACTATAATAAAGACTAAACGTACAAGGTATTCCTCAAACTTTCACATATACAAAATTGACACCCAAGTGTACAGTATGATTAGGCTCTATGAGTGAAACAAGCAAGCATTCACAAAAAAATGTGCATATAATTGATGCAAAACTAGGAGCTATGACAATCTCATTACAGAAAATGTAGAAATGAAACAATCATCCCAAATAAATTTCCTAGTAACCACCATAAGCTTCATCTTTACTGTATAATTTACTCAGTTTGTCCAACTAATATAAGGTCTGCNTTCAAATCTTTGCCATTCATCCTGTAAGAAGGAATACAGGTAATTTTTGTGCAAAATATCTTCTGTACCTTGGGCTATTGTTGAACCGATATTTCCAAGCATGGATCCACCACTGCTTGCTTGAGCAGGAACTGGAGGAGGAGCACGATTCACTGCAACCATGAGACACTGTGAGCTCCAAAGCAACACATATAATGTCTTTTAACAAAATTATATACCACATGCAACATAATTACCTGGCTGAGGAGGAACAATTTTTTTATTTTTTTATTTTTTAAGAGGAGAAGATTAAGAAGACTGATGTGGGTGCAAAAATATTTGTAGGAGGAAACAATTTAATTCTCATGCAACTCTGGGTTAATGGAATTACCTGGCTGAGGAGGATTACGTGCTGGAGCAGGACGAGGAGCTGGACGTGCAGATCTTCCTGCAAAATGATAGCAGAAGTAATGAGCATATGACTGCTCTACAAGCTAGATACAGACTCACAGAACCACATTGCAATCATTTCAGTTGTAACATAATTACATTAGCAGTCTAAAAGCTAGATAAACGCTCACAGAACCACATTGCAATCATTTCAGTTGTAACATTGCTACATTAGCAGATAGAGCAGACCAAACTATTCATCCATATCTATGGGGGAGTTTTTCAGCAGTCCATTTGAGTAAATAAATGCTTAATTTAATTATAGATCACAAACATGTCTTAACCTAAGCCAACTGAAACAGTAAACTTGGCTTTAGCTTGCAAAAGCAACAGGTATTCTTCTCAATAAATTGTAATTATTGTTTCCCACTCCCTCGTCCCCTGTCCTCCCTTCCTCACAAGAAAAGCAAAATCGGGGAAAAAAAACCAGAGTTTTCCAAGCCAACGATCTGAAATATGTTTTCCATGGAACAAACTAAGATGTAAAAATAAAAAATAGATAGTAACAGGGATTGCGAGAACTGAATCACATTCTTCCATCACACTGATGGCACAGCAACAAGAGAAAAACTAAACAATACCATGACAACTCAAAAATAATAGTAAACTCCCAAGTCTTGTATGGCACAGCAACAAGAGAAAAAATTAAACAATACCATGACAACTTAAACGTAATAGTAAACTCCCAAGTCTTGTTCATAAAGTGAATCAGGTATAAGATAATGACAACGATATCTCGTGAAAGTCTACTTATACAAATACAAAATGACCAATATACAGATTGGGCATTTAGCTCTTAAAATAACCAAATTGGCAGCATCCCTGAAAAATAAGGCTCTGATGCACATTAATTTGAATCTTACATAAATCCAAAGCATTAGCAGTTCATAGCGAGGATCGATTAAATCCTATGCCAAGCAAAATCATTCAAAACCCTAGACCCGGTTTTTCCCCAATCAAGGAAGTGAGAAAAAACCTGGGCATATTGGCACCAGCTGAAAGTAATATTTGTCTGTATTCAGTCAGACAAAATGAAAAAACAAACAAGTATCTTCGAAATTAAACAAAAACAGGTAAAAAGAGTAAAACCCAAATAAACATTTAGATCTGAAAATAACTTGATATATTGACGGAAAATGAAGAAAGAAAACGAAAAACTCACCACCGGAGCTACGGCGAGCCATGATTAAAGAGGCGGCGATAAAACCCTAGAGAGATAATTAATAAGGTAAATATTGCAAATCTTTGTGCCTTAGCAAAAACGCCGTGTAGATTTATATAGAAGTGTGCGGAATTTATGATCGTAAGTTTTGGGGTGTGAGCTCGTGACGTGTTCGGATCTTATTGGTTGCAAGACCATGTTTGACCTCTTTCATTTTCGGATCTTATATGTCATGGGGCCCACTTATTGTATGTGTTCTGGAAGGGTTACGTGAAACCCTTCACGTACACTAGAATTTTATTTTATACTATATTAAAGAAGGATAGCTGCAAAAACAGTATTCCCACCCGTAATTCTGGCCTCCATCCCGCCTAAGATTAAAAAAAAAAAAAATTATGTTTCTTGATACCGCCCAAATTTTTTGAATTGAATATTGCCCAAAATTTTGAATTCAATCCCACCCAACCAAAAGCTTACTCCTTGATGTAAGCGTCATAAGCG